CCCCAAAAAAAAAAAAATTAAGTTTGTTTTTAAAAAATATTTTCAATTTCAAAAAATATTTTCTACTCTAGTAAAAATAAAAGATATTTCTCAAAAATATTTTTTCATTGATAAATCAAACACTAAAAATCTTTTCCGGAAAATATTTTCTACTCACCAACCAAACATAAGAAAATAAGTCAAAAATCAACTTGTTTTCCAGTAAAACATTTTCCTTCATACCAAACACACCCTAAATGTTTTTAATGTTTAATATTAATAAAAAAATTCATTCTTCATTGTATCTTTTTTCAATGCAAAAATCCATTTTTTATTTTACCTTTGCATCTTCTAAAGCTTTTTTTATTTAGTTCTACCTCTCAGTGTAAATTTTTTTTATTCATACTACTATTATTTTGTGCTTTCACAAATTTATTTGGTTAATTATTTTTTTATATTAATTATATCTTTGTAAATAAACAAATAGTTTTATTTAACTATTTTTAATAATATAAATAATCAATATCGAGATAAAAAATAATATCAAAATTTTAGAAATAGAATGAGTCCGACAAGATTTTTTGGATTTCATATTTCTTATGAATAAAGTTATTTAAGTGGAAGTATAAAATTTGGAAGAATTGTTAGAAAAGAAACTAAAGGAAAAAAAGTAAAAAAAGTAAGAAAGAGAAAAAGAAAACGTTAAAAGGTAGAGAGAGAAAGATAAGTTTGGCCATTTTAGCTGAAATGGATCCACTTGGCAAAATATAAATGGGCCTCATACAACTTTTGTCTGCCATATCATACTTGTGCCTCATGCATGATAAAAAATTTCAATTAAATCATAAATTATAACTGAAATCTAGTATAAGAAAGTAAGTAGAGATATAACCTTTTTTAAATAAATTAATTAATTAATTAAAGTAAATATATTTTTATTGTGGTATTTTTATTTTAATATTTTTTTTGTCTTAATTAATGCATTTGACATTTGAATTCTTAGTCAAAATTCAACAATCAAACAGTTACAATTAGGATAAAATTTAATTTTAATAGTAATTTGATCATTGGAATTTAGTACAAGAAAGTAAATAGTGATAATTACTTTTTAAAGAATTACAGTACATATATTTTTATTTTTGTATTTTTATTTTAATATTTTCTGGTCTTAATTAATGGCTTTTACCTTTAAAATCTTAGTCAAAATTGAACTATACAATTAGGATAAAAATTCATTTCAATCATAAATGGATCATTAAAATTTTGTATAAGAAAGTAAATAGAGATAATCACTTTTTAAAGAAAGAAAATTAGAATAATATATTTTTATTGTAATATTTAAATTTTAATATTTTCAAGTCTTAATTAATGCATTTTACCTTTATATCTTTAGTCAAAATTCAGAAGTTAAAATTAAAATAAACTTTTATTAAATTATAAATTGATTATTGAGATTTAGTACAAGAAAGTAAATAGAGATATAACTGTTGAATTTTGACTAAAGATATAAAGGTAAAATGCATTAATTAAGACTTGAAAATATTAAAATTTAAATATTGCAATAAAAATATATGACTTTAAGTTTCTTTCTTTAAAAAGTGATTATCTATATTTACTTTCTTGTACAAAATCTCAATGTTCCATTTATGATTGAAATGACTAATTATAATTGTTGAATTTTGACTAAGAATTTAAAGGTAAAATGCATTAATTAAAATCTGAAAATATTAAAATAAAAATACCACAATTAATATATATATATATATATACACTTTAATTTTTTTTTCTTTAAAAAGTTGTTATCTCTATTTACTTTCTTATACTAAATTTCAATGATCAATTTATGATTGAATAAAAGTTTATTTTAATTGTAACTTTAGAATTTTGACTAAAGATTTAAAGGTAAAATGCATTAATTAAGACCTGAAAAATATTAAAATTAAAATATTACAATAAAAATACATGACTTTAATTTTCTTTCTTTAAAAAGTGATTGTCTCTATTTATTTTCTTGTACAAAATTTTAATGAACCATTTATGATTGAAATGAAATTTTATCCTAATTGTATTGATCAATTTTGACTAAGATTTTAAAGGTAAAAGCCATTAATTAAGACCTGAAAATATTAAAATTAACATACCAATATAAAAATATATCTACTGTAATTTTCATTCTTTAAAAAGTAATTATCTCTATTCACTTTTTTGTACTAGATTCCAATGATCAAATTATAACTAAAACTAAATTTTATCCTAATTGTAACGGTTTGATTGTTGATTTTTGACTAAGGATTCAAATGTAAAACGCATTAATTAAAACCAAAAAAAATATGAAAATTAAAATATCACAATAAAAATATATTTACTTTAATTAATTAATTAATTTTTTTTAAAAAAAGTTATATCTCTACTTTTACTTTCTTATACTAGATTTCAGTAATAATTTATGATTTAATTGTTTGACTAGTGAATTTGAAGTCAAGGTTCAAAGGTAAAATGCATCAATTAAAACTTTAAAATATTTTTTTTAAAATACCACATTATATATAAATATATACTTTAATTTTTTTCTTTACAAAGTGATATCTTTATCACTTTCTTGTACTAGAATTCAGTAATCAATTCACGATTGAAATGAAATATTACAATATATAGTCACGAGAGCAAATTTGAAGGACAACAAAAACAGGAGATACAATATCTAGATTTAATTTCTATAAAATAATAGAAAATAGATTGAAATTTCCCTTTAGGGTCAAAATGAGGCAAAAGAAAGTACAAAAATGGAAAATAAAGATAAATACTAATATTGGTCAAAAAGGATTTTACTCTTTTTACTTTTAAAGGGACGTTTGGTAGGAAGTATTAGGAGAAATAGTTCATGTGTTATGTATGGTGTTATTTGTAGAGAAAAGACATAAAGTCACCATTGAAGTTGTCCCGAATTTTCAAAAAGACACCTGAACTTTGCAACCGTCCTATTATCCCACTAAACATTATGAATTGATATTATTATATAATTTTTTGATCAGCCCCAAATTTTAAGAAGCAAGTGTGTTCACACAAAAATCATTACATGACACGTGTTAATTTAATTAATTTTCAGTTTCTCTCTCTCTTAATTTTTGACTTATTCTAATTTTGATTTCATCTTAAATTCCACTCAACACACTTTCAAGCTGACCAATCCTTCCATTTTCTTTTTCACCTCCCATCCTCATCCCACCTCCCCATGTCAAATTGATCCCCTCTCCCCCTTTTTTTTTTCTCTTTCTTTTTCTTCTCCAATCAAATTCTTTATTTCCATACTATTTTCTAGACTTGATTAAATTATTGATATCAAAACTAATTATTTTTCTAAGAAAATTTAAAATTTTGAAGGTATCATCAATTACTCCTTTTCATATAACTTTAAAATTAGAAATGATAATTTTAAAAGAATCAATGAATTACTCAAAAATTGAAAGAACTTGATTGAAATCGGATAAAAAAAAACTATATGATACCTCCTAATCATCTTGAAATCTAATGGATTAATCAAATTGTTTGAAAAGTAAGAAAATATTTAGATAAAGTTTTAAAATTAAAGAGAGTAAAACTAATAGTAGTAAAAAAAGGAAGGTAAAGTTGTAGTAAAACTGGTAATATTGAAAGTGAGAAGCTTTAATAGAGATGACAATGAATTTTTTAAAATAATAAGAAAATATATTTTATAAAAAAATACTTGTAAAAATAAAATTATATTAGTTATTTTTGGTTGATCACTCTCTTTGAGAGAGTGCACACTCTCTATGTAAGGTGGACAAAAAATGATGTAATATATCAATCCAAGAATGTTTAGTGGGATAATAAGACACCCGCATAGTTCAAGTGTCTTTTTGAAAATTCGGGACAAGTTCAAGTGTCACCCCAAATAGTACTTCATGAATGAATATATACTCTTCATGAAAAAATCATATTAATCCATAGTATTAAGATCTCTGACCAATTCAAAACTCACATGAAAAAGGATCAATGTATATGCTAAAATTGTCTATATAGTAACAAAACTAAAGATTAACAATGTCAGTCTAGTGAATAAAATTGTTCTTTTCGCCTCTGAATAGTTCATTAATTATCATAAAACTATGATACTAATTATTTTTTTGGTAACTTAAGCTTCAATAATTTGAATCAACAACTAACCTGAAGGGTGAAACAAAAACTTGAGTAGAACACTCTGAGGAAAAGACAACAACAACGTACGTGCTTTAGGAGCTTATTTTCAGCCCTGGACATCTTCTCGACGGTCTCAAAATCGAGCAAAACCCTCATAATTTTTGGTATACACAAATCAATCACCCATCTTCTTCCAAATCTCCTTTCCCACCAACTCTGACAACAATACAAGCATTTTATAAAATTTACAGTACAACTAACTGTTCAGATTTAAAAATAACTTATAAAATTCAGATGAAAGATGGGCACATACATATGGAAAAGAAAGGTACAACCAAAGAATGAAAATACAAAAAATAGACATAGAGAAGAGGAGAGGCAAATTTGGGCAAAATTGAAAAGAGCAAACCTAAAATCTCGGTGGTCGATGGTTGGCGACCGGCGACCGGCGTTTTCTTTAGTTAAAGAACAACGTTATGGAAGATTTTTAGATACAGAGAATAAAAAAAATAGAAAAGCAATACGTGGCTTTTCAAGTGCTTGATAGTAGACACGTACACAATGATTTAATGAAAAGTCAAAATTACCCTTCACTGAAATTTTAATGACCAAAAACAGGTATGTTGATACCAACTATTCCACTCATGCTTCTACTAAAGTAGAATATATATATATACACACACACATGTCCTCATATAATTGGGTTGATGAAGTCTGCTATAATAATACTAAATTTTTCATAAGCAACATAATTAAAGGCCCAGAAGGCAACAAAAAAAAGAAAATGTTATTTAGCCTATGTTATTTCAATCAGCAAAAAAGACTCGGCAATTGAAGGAATGGAACTATTAAACCTGGAGGAAGCCAACAACACTCTTAAAGGGCGGCGGAGCAGAGCTACCTTTGCACTCTGTCACATGACCATTTGCAGGAAGATAATGAGCAGCTATCGGAGGAAAAGGAAAAGGAGGAACGGAAGCCAGAGGACCTACCAAAAGAAGAGGCTTTTCTCCTTTAGACAAGATTTGACAGTAAAAAACAACGAGCACAACCCATGAAACCTGAGAACACAATTGAAAAAGAACAATGAAGTCAGAAGGAAGAAAGGAAAACGAGCTCATATAACAAGATACTTACTCTTATTAGCTGATTCATCAGCAACCAGGAAACACATCAACATCACGTTGATAATCCCTAGCAAGAAGAGACAGAGAGCCGAATTAGTCCAAGAAGGCAACATCGTAGGTGAAGAAATGGAAAGCAATAGAAGAGAAGAAGAAAGCGGCGAGGGGACAAAGAAAAGTGAAGATGACCTATTTAGAAAATCCCTCTGAAATAGATAGATATATATATGTATTCAGATTGGGTTGGGCCTGGGTTTTATTCGTTGTGTGTTAGTTTAAAGGGAAAATTAGCAATCAAGTCATAATACATAACATAATTAGTTAAAACAAGGGATAAGGGTCTAAAAAATACTTCAACTTTGGTCGGATTTGCTGTTGCGATACTAAACTTTCATGAGGACCTATTACCTCCCTAGACTATTTTAATACCGTATTTTTTACTCCCTGAACTATTTAATAGTGTATTTTAAAAGATATATATGTACCCACGTGGACACATTACTATTTATAATTTTGCATTATTTTTTATGTCCACGTGGGCAAAATATATATGTTTAAAATACGGTATTAAATAGTCTAGGGAGATAATAGGTCCTCATGAAAGTTTTAGTATTGCTAACAGCAAAATTTGACCAAAGTTGAGGTATTTTTCAAAACCCTTATCCCTTTAAAACAATTACACCACTACCCATTACCCTTATTTCCCCAACTTTCACATTTTCTTTCCCCCACCCTTCACGTTTTTTAACTTCTCTTTCTTCAAGGTTATCACAAAATGTTTCAACAAAATCTCTATTTTAATTCAAGAAATTTATTGATTGTTAAACGAAATCTCTATATTAATTCAAGAAATTTCTCGATTGGCAAAGGTAATTTCCATTATTTATTGAGATTTATTTTGATTTGCTTTTTAAAATTATCGATTATAGTGTACATTCCAGATTGTATATATCACGAATTTTCAATCACTTTTTTTTATGTGATTTTGTTTAGATATTCATCAAATATTTATGTATTAAAGATTTTTAGTCTTTTAAACAATTTTTTTCAATTTTTTTTGTGATTTTGTTTTAATTTTTCAGATTTAGTAGAATCTAAAAATTCATTTATATGTTTATTTTGTTTGATTTTTAGTACATTTATATTTGATAATATTGAAGTTTGCTTTTAGGGTTTTAGATTTTGGGAAAAGCATCTGATTGTCTACAATGACGGAAAAAATCAGAATTACTAGAAGTATACCAAATAATATTTAAAATTTTGGGGAATTTTCCTCTTTTGATTTGTGTATTATTAGTAAGACATTTTTGTATTTTAATCATAACTATATTAGTAAGACATTTTTTGTATTTTATTTTTTATAAGACATTTTTTGTATTCATTTGTATACTCTCTGCAGTTTTAATCATAACTGTATTAGGAAGACATATTTTTTGTGTTTTATTTTGTTAAAGCAATATAAGTTTGATGAAAACATAATATA